TTATGAACTTTAAAGCATCTTTCAGATGTTACTGGTCTTCCTCAGATCATAAATAATTTTATTCTCATGATTCACCTAGTATGGATTCTGGGGACAGGTATTGGCAAATAACTAGTGGTTCAGCTTTGGTACATGTCTGTATGTGTGTGTGTGTGTGTGTGTGAGATAACCATTTATATAATGCCTACCTACTATGTACTAGGTGCTTTATAAATATTATTGCATTTGATTCTATCAACAATCTTGTGTAGTAGGTAGCATTATTATCTCCAGTTTACAGTTGAGAAAACTGAGGCAAACAAGAGGTTAAGTGACTTGCTTAGGGTCACATAGCTAGTAAGTTTCTGAGGCCAAATTTGAACTCAGGTTGTCCTCATTCAAGGTCCAGCACTCTTAACTATCGAGTCACCTCATTGCCTATATTGAATGCTTGTCAGATATAGTGTAGAAGGGATTCTCATTCAGGTTTGAGTTAGATAAAACAGCATTTGAAGCTGTTCCTTCCTATTCTCCATGGGGCTTTCATTAAATAATGTTTAGCATTTATTGGTAGGAAAGTGTGGTAGCCTATCTACCCTTAAATAGCTACATTGGTTAAGAACCTGGAATACAAAGACAGTCCATGGCTTATTACTCCTATACCTTTAATGTCTCTCTAGTAGTTCAAAAACCACAAGATAAGAGGGTGGTGGTACTTGGCAAAAAGGAGTATGTTTCTTTGGAGCTACATTTAGCCTTTCTTCTTACTAAGGCTAACCCCTCTGCATGAGATCCCATTCCATCTCTTCCAACTGATTGCTCCATCATCCTCACTCGATCATATATCTTCAGTCTCTCCCTGTCTACTATCATCTTCCTCAATGTCTAAAAATAAGCCCTCTGTTTCCCCCATCCTCAAGAAACCCTCACTTGATCCTTCCACTCTTGCTAACTATTGTCCTATATCTCTTCTGCCCTTTGTGGCTAAGCTCCTCAAACAGGCCATCTATAATATATGCCTCCATTATCTCTCCTTTCACTCTCTTCTTAACCCCTTACAATCTGGCTTCTGATCTCATGGTTCCCTGAAAACTGCTCTCTCCAAAATTATCAATGATCTCTTGATTGCCAAATTCAGTGGCCTTTTCTCAGTCCTCATTGTTTTCAACCTGTCTATAGCCTTTAACGCTATTGAGCACCCTCTTCTCCTTGATACTGTCTTCTCTCTAGATTTTCAGGATGCCATTCTCTCCTGATTTTCCTCCTACCTATCTGAGTGTTCCTTCTCAGTTCCTTTCTAGATTCTCACCCAGGTCACACCCTCTAACCATGGGTATCCCACAAGGTTCTGTCCTGGGCCTTCTCCTCTTCTTCCTCTATATTATTTCACTTGGTAACCTTATTATCTCCCATGGATTTAATTACTGTCTCTAGGCTAATAATTCTTAAATTTACCTATCCTACCCCAAACTTTCTGCTGAACTCCAATCTTGCATCTCCATCTTCCTTTCAGACATCTTGACCTGGATGTCCATTAGATATCTTAATTTTACAAAATCAACGTGATTGTTTTTCCCCTTTAACTCTCCTCTCCACCTACCTTTCTTATTACTGTTGAGGGCAACACCATCCTCCCAGCCCCTCAGGCTTAAAACTTAGATGCTATCCTTGGGTCCTTACTATCTCTCACCCTTTATTGCCAATCTGTTGCCAAAGTTTGTCAATTTCACCTCTGCAACATCTCTCCTCTGACACTGCCAACATTCTGGTTCAGGCCTTCATCATCTCATGCCTGGACTATTGCAATAGCTTGTTGTTGGTTCTGCCTCCCTCAAGTCTCTCCTTACTCCAGTCTATCCTCCATTTATCTGGCAAAGTGTTTTTCTTAAAGCATAGGTCTAATCATGTCATTCTCTGACTCAATAAAGTCCAGTAGCTCCCTATCACCTCTAGGATCAAATATACAGTCCTCTACTTGGTGTTCAATACCCTTCATAACCTAGCCTCCTCTTACTTTTCCAATCTGCTTACATCATGTCATGTACGTTTTTCTTTGCTTGCTGTCTCCTCCATTAGATTGTGTGCTCCTTGAAGGTAAGAAGTGTCTTTTGCCTCTTTTTATATCCCTAACACTTAGTGTAGTGCTTGGCACATAGTTAGCACTTAATAAATGTTTATTGAATGACTATCTGAGCCTCTTTGTGAGTGTGCCCTGATGATGACTCAGTTTGATTTTACTCCATGCTGATCACTGCTCCAGGTATCTGCATTATTTTCTGACAGAAGAGCTCCTCCACAGCTTTAGGGCTGTTGTGTTTCCTCATACTACCAATCAATTGTGAGCTCCTTCTTTTTCTAGTCCCTAACCTCAAGTAGTAAATCCAGGCAGGAGATGAAGTGAATAGTTATATTTAGCCCCCAAATGACCAGAGTAGCAATGTGTTACCTGAGAATAATATTGTGTTCTCAGGAATGCTGGAAAGAAGCATGGCACAGTCGTCAGAGGGCTAGCCTTGGAATCAGGAATACCTGATTCTATTTCAGGTTGCACCTCTGATACCTCCTGACCATGTGACCTTAGTGCCCCTAAATAACTCTCTAAATTATCAAAGAGAGGTACAGAGTTTCCAAAGTTTTCCCACACTAATGACATCACAAAATTGGATCAAAAAATTGAAAAAATAACAATCCTACATATAACAGGAAACAATTTTTTCTTTTATCTAAACATTCTCATTGTGTGACAATGACCTTTTTCAAAAAACTCCAGGCTCCCTATTGGGATCAAAGATAAACTCCTTTCTCTATTTGATATTTCATCTCTTCACTGCCTGCCCCCTTCCAACCTTTTGAGTCTTTTTACACTTGACACCCTTCCATACACATTGTAATTTAGCCACACTGGTCTACCAACTATCTTGCACATGAGAAGCTCCAACTCCCACTTCCATCCCTTTACACTCACTGTGCTCCATTCCCAGAAGGAACTCTCTCCTCACTTTCACTCCTTGAAATCTCTGGTTTTCTTCAAGACCCAGCCCTAGAGCCATCTTCTTCATGAAATACTTCCTGCTTCCCGCAGGTGCTAGGGCACTAGCTCTTCACACTTCTCTGTATTCCTTTTATATCTTCTCTACATAGCTATATGAGTACATACTGTCTCCCCCATTAGACTGTAAGGTCCTTAAAGGCAGAAACTCTTTCACTGTATTCTCAGCACTTAGCATTGTGCCTTAAATGTAATAATCTACTAATTATTTAATAAGTGCTTATTGATTGATTGTTAAATAAGCTCCATGAGGACTTCTTTTGTAAACTTTCCCTCTCTCCTGGTGCTTAGCATGGGCCTCTGTATACAGTAGATGCTTAATATGTTTTTGAATTACTGAATTGCTACAGATGTCAACCAACCTCAACAGCATTCCTTTCACAGGAAACTCTGCATGAAAAACCTTACTGATACTAGAAAAGAGAAAACAGAACCTAGGAATCCTTTATTTGTTCTATGGATACTACTCATGCAGTGTTTTCTCATTAACATGAGAAGCAGCATAACACAGTGGAAGAATACTGGGTTGGGAGTCAAGGGATCCAATTTTAAATTTTAACCCTGTTGCTTACTATCTGTGTGACTTTGGGAAAGTCGTAATCTATAAAATGAATGAGTTAGACGAGATATTCCCTAAGGTCCTTTTGAGTTCTCAATTCAATTTTCTGGGCTTTCACTCCTGACCTCAGCTTCCTCATCTATAACATGAGACAGTTGTACTTATTCATCAATCATGCCCCTTTCATCTCTATACTTATTATCTTTATAATTAAACCAGCAGAGACACAGTATCATGTAGAATTGTGTGAATTGAAAGGAGTGGACATTTTAAATTTGGGAGGTGCAGAGGTTTTGTGTGTGTTGTTCCAAGAGGGAAATGCCATTGGTAAAAATGAGACATGAGAGAGAATCTATCCTTGGGTCTATCATGGAGGCAGACAGCACGGTAGACTGCAGTTGTCATGAAATAAAATTGACATTTGTTTTAAAAATGCACCAATATACCAATATACCAATGCTATTACTAGTTAAATCTTCATCTAAGCCCTGAAAATCCAGTTACGCTCCTGTCTAAACATAAGGTCACATAATGTAAGTGGGGGGTAGCAAAAGAAGGTGATTTCTGGAATAATGGACAGAACTCTGTTCTTGGAGACAAGAGATGCCTCTTATTGTTACTAATATATATAGTTTGGTAATCTTGAGCAAGCTTTGGCCTCTGTGTATCTCTTTCCTCATTCGTTCTTCCTGGACACTCCATCTCCTGACTCCATGCCTTCACATTGGCCATCCCTCGTGTCTGGAACACTCTCTCTCCTCACCTTCACCTTTTGGAGTCTCTGACTTCCTTTAAGACTCAGCTCAAGTGCCAGTTCTACAGAAAGCCTTTCCTGATTCCCCTTCCTCCTATCCATACTCCCAGATGCTAATATTCTCTCTCCCCAAACTACCTTATATTCACTTTGCATATATTTTGTCTATACTTATATATGTGAACATGTTACCACCCGTATTACAATGCAAGCTCTTTGAGGGCAAGTATTATTTCACTTCTTACTTTGTCCTAAGCATTTAGTTCAGTGCCAGGCCCCTAGTAGACCTTTAACAAATATAGATTGATCTGGAAAAATAGGGATAATAATACCTTGCCTGCTTGAAAGGAAGAAGTTGAACAGACAATTTCTTGATACTGTTTGCAGCTTTTGGATTTATGACCAATCTAGAATTGACTTTGGTCTTTCCTAGGAATACTAACTTGCCCTTATACAAGCAAAACTACTCAGACTAAAGACAGAAACTTCATTTTAAGTCTCTGAAGTATGATCATTCAACCAGGCAGATACTTATCAGCTAATTTAAGGTAATATAAGTGCATTAATGAACCTTACTGTCTATTGCCATTAAAATAATCAACTCATTATTAAGCAAATGAACAACCCTGGTAATGAAATCCCAAGTGATTATTTCTTACCTTTGGATTTCCTGTCATAGTAAGACCTGCCTCGATATTGAGGGGTATCCATATACAGATTTTCAAGATCTTCCTGCCAGGTTTCTGGATTAAAGTGCTTGAGCAGGTCTTCCACGGTGTCAAATCCAGCTACTGTCTGATCGAGAGCATCTGCTGTGAGCGTGGGATCGGTCACTGATGGAGAGTGATAGGATACCCCCTAAGAGTGACATACAACTCAGTGTACTCAGGGAAAAAAAATGCCACACCTATGAAACACAACAGTCATTTAGTAATGGTAATTTTTTTGCAATAGTTGCTCAAAATGGTATGGATGCACACAGAATTCCAGTGCTACCAGGCCATGCCACACTAAAAGGCAAGTGCCACTTTCCCATTATGTATCATTGTATTATTATTATATATTATTATAGTCCCATTATATATCAAATAAAACTACATGATACACACTCAGTCTTTTGCAAATCTTAAGTTAAAGAAAACCTTTCAAAAAGTGAAAACATCCTATCCTTTCAACTTTTGGCCAATTACAGGAATATAGTCATCCAGATGGAAATAACCAAATCACTTGATATGCTTCTTTCATAAGGCTAATTTGATAGTTAACCATAAAGCTCATTCAAAATTCTTATGCATCTTGTTTCTCTAGGAGCACACAAGGTACCAGTGATGAACTAGCAAACTGATGCCCTACTTTGCCCATCTTTAGCCCTTTAGATATCACCACTGACCCTACTCAGGAAGAAAAGGAAGAAGAGCACCTCTTTTGGTGGATCTTCAATTACTGAAAGTGCTGTGAGCTAGTGCATATACATCTTGCAAAAGTTTATTGTTCAGTGAAGTCTATTGTCCCTCCCACAAGGCTTATTGGCAGTGGTATCAGCTCTTTTGATAAGGAGGGAAAAAAATCACATGGGACACTAATTAAAGGAACAGTGTTGTGGTTTGCTAATGATCATGACTATCATTAAAACATCTTCAGGAAGATATGGAGTAACTCCAAAGGACAAGAGAATGTCGGCCACCTGAAACAGAGGAGGTTTTCTAGTACCAAATGCATTCCCATTAAGTTTCCAAAGGCTCCCTTCACTAACCCTTGTCCAATCCAGAGGCAAATGAACCGTGGCTCCAATGGCTATGTAAAAATTTATGACCCATTAAAGGGAAATGGAGAGCAGGGATCTTCAGCTGAGTGCTCAAAGAAACTGCCAAGCCAATACAATCCCCCCCAAGGACAACTAGCTCCTATCATTAAGTAGAAAGAACATTATTAATTAAAATTAAATGAAAATGCCTCACTCAAACAAAATTTCAATGACCTATGGGAGGAACATCATATGTTACAAAGGGAGAGGCAGGAATGCCCATGTATACATTTACATTTTTAATTAACATTTGTATCCTTTTATTTTCTAAGTTCCTTCAAGTGAGATAGAAGTTTCCATTGCTACAGTTAGAAGACTTGGTTGGGGTGGGAGGAGGGAGGCATGATCACTGTCTTCAAATATTTGAAGGGCTCTTATGTAAAGGAAGGACTAGCCTTATTCCATTGCGCACTAATGGACAGAACCAGGAGTAAAGGGTAGAAGGCAAAAAGAGGTCAATTTAGCTAGATGTCAGGGGGAAAAAATTCTGAATGCTTAGAGCTGTCCAAAAGTGGTATGGAATATCTAGAGAGGTGGTGTATGTCCTCTCCTTGGAAGTTTTCAAGCAGAGGCTGGATGATTGCCTTAGATATAGTTGGGACTAGACAGAGTCTGAGGTTACTTCAATCTCTCCACGACTCTGTAATCTATGGAAGTAGAGGGTGAGGAGATGCTTGTTGACTGGTGTTAGCTAACTCTTTAGTCCAGACCTTAATTGGACTGAGGTGGTAGTGTTTTTGAGCACCCTGGTCTATATAGACAGTGCCATCATTATGTTATCATCACCTGGTTCCCCAGGAAGTAAACTGGCTTGTTCAAATAGGAGAGTGTATATCCCCTGCCCTGTGTTCTTCTGTCTAATTTGGGGCCCAGGGTTGAGATTCACTAGGAGTGACTGCATCCTTTTCTTTATTTATACCTCTGTTCTAGTGACTCCAAAGAGTTCTAACAACCCAAGTTGAACCCAAGTTCTTGAGATAATTTAATCTGGATAATTGTGGAATAACCACTTAATTTTTTATCCTTGGTTTAAATTAGTTCTGGATTACACGCACCTAAGGAATAGCTCACTCCTTTCAGGTGAATGCCAACATTTTGCAGGTGATTATAATTTGGCAAGGCAAATTCTATCATTTGTTTATTCTTCTCAGTAGCTATATTTGGAATTGTAAAGTAGACATAGAAATTAGTGGAGTGAAGACTGTAGAGTCATAGTGAAATGAAAGCTGAAATGATTACCTAATTAATTGTGAGCCACATAAGTGGTTAATGCTGATGATTCAATAGAATACAAAAAAAAGCATTGAGTTAATTAGATTCCATAGTATCTATATGTCCCCAATTAAGCAGATAATTTATAATTCTTCATTTAATCTTTGTTGTGAAGTCTGAGGCACAGAAAAAGCAATGACAACTGAACCAAAGTGGGCACACAGTCATATGTAAAAGCTTTGGAAATTATTTTAGAATTATAGCATTTTGGGGGGAGGAAAGAAGGAAGGAAAGAAGGAAAAAAAAGGAAAGAATAAAATTTATTTCCTTTTGAAATTATAAACAGAGCAACAAATCAAAGCAACAAATTCAAATAGAAAAGCTTGTGATAATTTTTCAAAAAGCAGAGGTAACATTGTTTTTGAATTTGTTTCTAAAGACCGCTAGATAATGGCATGTCTGGGAGATGTTTCTCATAGTCAATAGCTAAGAGTGTCTCCCCATCCCAGAGGGCTACTTGATGTCTTCTGGGCACCATGCTAGGCTGTACAATCCAAGTGAAAGCTAAATGTAAAATTCTTCTATAAGAATAAGCATCTACTGGGTTTTTCCTTAAAGTACTCTGTAAGTTTGATCTAAATCAATTTAATATATTGAAATGAATTTTAAAGATACTTAAATTATTTAAAAAATTTAAAACAAATTCTAGATACCCAAATCAATATGAATAAAAACAAAGCAAGACATGTATCAATATTGCTTTATTTTCAAGACACCTACGGCAAGGACATTATTTCTAGGAATTAACTGTCCTCTAAAAAGAAAGGTTTTATGAAGAAAAGATGAGAGAATCTCCTTTGCCAGCCTAGGATTGTATCTCAGAATGAGATTCAACTTGTCTAAGGAGCCTGTATCCAATGTGAGCACTGCTAAGTTTGATTTTTTTTTAATTAAGGGGGTCATCCCTTCACTCCCTTCTTAAAGAGGCCTATTCACTAAATGGATGTTACCTCACTCAAAGTGAGAAGCTGAAAAAACTTTAGTTTAAAAGGGTCAAGGTCTCCCATTGTATCCTGGGCCATTTCCAGGAAAAAGTGAGGCTGGTGACTTTGCACAGCCCTCCTTCACTCAAATCAAAGTCAATTGCAAGTCATGTCATCATCTTCCTGATGTCTTGGTCCTCTTTGAGAACAAAGGACAAACACACCAAGGTCTACTGTTCTAACTGGGAGGGGAAGACCTCAGGGTTCCTGGCTAAAAGAGAAACAGTTACTATTTACATTTACTCTGAACCTGGAAGGCCCAAAAAATAACCATTAAGTGGTGCTTGGGCGGGGACCTACTGTTGTCCAATCTATGAGCTCCTGAGTGAATTGGGTTTGGGTTTAAGTCTTGGTCTTTGAGAAAGAAGGAGGGAGAGTGCGAGAGGGAGGGAGAGAGGGAGCTGCCTGGCCCAGCTAGTCAGTTCCAGTTGGGTAACTCAGCTTGTCATCCACTCTCCCTCTCCTTGTCCCTCTCCCTTGTTAGAACAACAAGTTAAATGTAAGCTGTCCCTGGTGCCGCAGCTGCCCCAGCTCAAGTTTATGATATTTAGGATCACACTATCTCAAGGGTGCATCATTCGGCTTCCTGCTTACTCTTGTTCTACTAGTCATAGGACTTGGGATGACTCTCATGTATCAAATTTAGTTTCCCGCCTAAGTAATTGTCAGCCTGCTTCCATTTCTTTAGAGCCCTCCAGAACCCATAGTTAGGGTCAGTTAATGTTCATCTTCATTCTCAGATCTATTTCAGGCTCGGGGGCCAAGATGTACTTTAGATAGAGGAAAAATAATCTGGTCCCTGGCCTTATAGATTGGAAATTAGTCATCAAATCAGTCTTGCCATTGGTTATACTCTAACTTTGTCATGCAGTTTTAATAACTGGGTTCTTGTCTTGTTCCAAGTATTCTTTACCAAACAATTCCCTGATACCATCCTTCAACAACCTGCCTGGTCACTCAACAAATCTCACCACTAGATCTCTAATGCAAACTGTACATTTATCAGGATTTCATCATTGTGTCTGTCGATGAACTTTGTCTGAGTATGCATCCAACTTTGGTGGAGAGACTAAGGACACTCACTTCAAGAGCTCACCTATTCTCCTGCCAACTGAGCTCCAGTTCTAGCAGCCTAGTTCTGTGTTCCTATTGTAGTTTCTTGTTGAGTTTAGTCTGCCTAACTCAGCTTCCTGCCTAGCCCTATATCTATGTGGACTATCTATATCTATATGGACACCAGTCTCCCAGTTTCTACATTCATAACATAGACATTTTCAGAATAGCAAAATAAAAATTCTCAAATTCATTATCATGAATTGGACTCAAGTGACAATTCTGTGTGATTGGCCTAGTAGCTGCCACAAGTAAATGAAAGACTCACAGGCTACATCTTTCTAAAAATTTCTGCTGCATAAAGTGGGGGGGGGGAGATCCTTGAAAGAGTAAATGTCACTGAGTCACTTCTCATCAATTCCATGAATGCCTAGGATCATGACCTGCTGCCCAGGGCATCATTGCTCTTTGACTTTTTTTTTTCAATGAACTACTACCAAGTATTACAAGTAAGGCTGTTTGGAGCCATAAGTCTGTGCTTTCAGTAGTAGATATATAAGGAGACAGAAGGCTAAGATAGTGCTAAATTTGGAGAATAAGAAAGGTGGCATAATACATATTATAACAGGGCAACATATTATAATAGGATACTATAGAGTAAGTTGTGTTCCATTTCTCTGATAAATGAAAAAACGCTTAATTTTTAATTAAGCTATCCTACCATAAATATTTAGATTTTTTAAGTCTAAGAAAAACTCTTACAATTACATAAAGTTTAAAAATTTCACTTGGCTTTCTTTATAACTTATTGCAAAATTTCCCATTTGAGCATAGACCATATAACTTTGTATTTTGATATGTGTGGAGAGTTCTTTTGTTGTCAGGTTCTACTTTGAAACTGACAAATACTTTGCCATTGGCCATCACATGCTCTTACAAAGGCTGTTAGCATTTCTGAAAAAACATTTCTGAAAAAAGAAAAAAAATGTCCCTGGTCACAAGCCAGTGTAACTGGAATGATATGGGAGAATATATCCTGCTTCAAACTCTGGCTTTTGGTTAAACCAGGATTATTTCTTGCAGCTGAAGCTGTATGGGGATTGACCTTGGCTATTCCATCAATTTCCTACCCTGAAGCCCAGTAATGAAATACTTACTGAGAGGGAGCTTGTGACTGACTCCCAGTTGGTCTCTGAGGCTGCTGGGGGTTGGAAATCATCCTAGGAGGCAAAGAAACGCCCACATAAGTCAGTCAAGGCTGTACTTAATTCACTCTATCATGTTTCAACACAATTCAATCTTTGGAAACTTCTTCCAATTAAGGGATATTAACAGTAGAGGTTTTTCATTCTTGAATAATATTATCAGTTGCCTTTCAAAGATTTTCTCTAGGTCCCTTACAAGGTAAGATTAGCAGGCAGACAGCCAAAGTACCAGTTAATGCATCATGTAGAACTGAAGACTGCTTCTTGGGGACAGTTTGACCTTCATGCCTCTCTGTTATTATCTTAAACAAGGAACTGCTGGACCCAACTGTATAAAGAGATGCCAGCTGGAGACCAACTTGGACAAAGAATAAATTCAATAATGACTGTGGGGATCAGCACTGGAACTAAGAAGGCTGAAATACTCCAGTATGTGATCAGCAATGAGGCATCATGGTGTAGATTAAAAAAAAAATAAAGCAGTGGATAGTAGTTGGGGGACCTATGTTCTATTTCGAGTTCTGCCATTATTTAGTTCTAGGACTTTAGGCAAATTACTAAGTGACATTTAAGTCAACAAGCATTTATTTTGTGCCTACTATTTGCCAGGTACTGTGATAAGAACTGAGAGTACAAAGACAAAAATAGAACTATCCCTGCCCTCAAGAAGCTTTCGTTGCCCTAAATCTCTCTAGGGCTCAGTTTTTTTTTTAATCTATAAAGAGGTGAAGGCAGTTTGGACTGTATACTCCCTTAAATCCCTTCCAGTCTTAACAGTCTTTGATTCTAAGAACTTGGTTGGAGGATGGGAGAGCAAAGGGTAGAAAGGAAAGATGTTTTACAGTTATTTTGCCCAGGGCTCAATTTAAAAAGGTTTGTGATCATAAAAAGACATGTGACCAAGAAATATGTCTCTTCATGAAGCATAAGATGTATGCTCAAGATATAAGGGCTTTTATGGGAAGGTACTCCAACTCTAACCACTTTTTCAGTATCTACTGGTGTCTGAAATTGACCACTTCTACAAGTGAAAGGTGGTTTACTGGCTTCTTCCACACAATCAACAACATGGCATTTCCCTCCTGCCTGATCAGGAAGTTAGAGTAATTCTAGAGAAATCCCATGAAAAGATAAGCAGTTTATTTAGTTTATTTACACAAATGACTAGCAGCATGGTGTAATGGAAAGAGAGCTGGTGTCAAAGCCAAGACCTGTGTTGAAGTTCTACATCTGAGACATTTTGGCTGAGTAACCCTGGGCAAATCACTTAACCCTTCAGTGATCTGAAAATCTCTCCATAATTTTCCAAGATGTTAATCTGCTTTGGTAGAGGAAGTGTCTATGCTGATGAAATCCCTGGTTCAATAAAAAAGTAATTAATCACATGGTAAGTATTAGGCTACTCCAGTAATTTGAAGATATCATGAGGAAGTATATTTGTTAAGTACTAAAGGGGTTTCTGTGCTTGGGAAAGAAAAAAGGGGAGAGTTGAACTCATAATGCTATTCTGGAATAAAAAAAAAGTTGGCTTCTTGTCAATCATTATTTATGAATCACTGAATGTATACTTTGTTATGAGCCCTATGGAAATTTTTTTTTTCTTTAAGGAATATAACATATGGTCTCTACTCTTAAGGAAGTTATAGTAGGTAAAGACAGGATGCATAAGATCATTGAATCAAGCAAGTAGTATTTACTAAACTCCTATTCTATGCCTGGTGTGTTGTGCTGGGGACACAAAGAAGGGCAAAACCAGGCCCTGCTCTAAAGGAGCTCACAGGTTAACAGGAAGGGAAGAAGACATCATACAAACAAGATATATACAGGTTAAACTGAAGGGAGTCTCTGAGACAAGCACTAAGATTAAGGAGGACTTGGAAAGGCTTCATGGAGAAAGTGGGGCATTAGTTGACACTTGAAGAAAGCCAGGAAAGCTAGGAAATGGAGATGAGAAGACAGAGTACTCTAGGCATGGGAGATAGCCAGTGAAAATGCTGTGAGGCAAGAGTCAGGTGAACTAGGCTCTGCTACTTATTATCTATGACAAGTCACTTCCTTTTATGGACCTTGGTTTCTTCATTTGTAAAATAAGGGACTGTACTAGGTGATCTCAAAGGTCTCTTCTAGCCTTTGAGACAGTAAATACAATACCTCTATAGAATATTTACAAAAAGGCATAAGTCAATGCATCTGTAGAACTGTATTCAAAGTGTTGAGAAGACGTGGGAGCTGACAGAGTGAGCTGGGTTGGAGAAAATCTCAAGGAGGGGAATTTTGAAATGAGATTTTTCAGACTGAAACCCTGGAAGTTGGTGGTGCTGGTGGGGAAAAATGAGCATTCCAGGTGTGGAGAATGCAATGATGGATTACAGAACCTTGGAGGAAGGGATCAGCAGATCATCTAGGGGCTAGATCAGGGGTGGGGAACCTGTGGCCTCAAGGCCACATATGGCCCTCTAGGTCCTCAAGTGCAGCCCTAGTCAAAGGGCCATACTTGAGGACCTAGTGGGACCTCATGTGACCTTGAGGCTGCAAGGTCCCCACCCTTGGGCTAGATTCTAGTCTAATTTTCTTCACAGAGATAAGGAAACTATGGCCAACAACCATTAAGGGATTTGCCCAAGGTCCCACACTGAGCTAGAAGCAAAGCTTGGCCTTAGACTCAAATGTCCACTAGTTTTTGATTACTTTCTATTCTCTAAGGTCTTACTACTTCTAAAATTCTGAGAGAATAGCAGTTGAGGTTCTCATGACCTTAATGATTGGATTATTCAATTTATATTAACTTAGAAATCCTTTTTGCCTAGTTCAAGACATTATTTGAAAAAATCTAGTCTGTTAATACTGCTAAGCTAGTAAAAACAAGTTAGTGTTCTGGCAAATCCCAGTCCCCCATTTTCTCCATACTTTCATCTTTTAAGTCTCCTTTGAAAATGACGTGAATCCTATATGATCTTTTCCCACCTACACTTTACCAGGTGGAATTGTCTACTGCTTACCATACCTTAAAGGTCTGGTAAACAGTATTTTAATCACATGAGGGGAAAAAGCTGGTAAGATAGTCTCATTCTTCTGAAGGTAGAGAGGATGAATTTTAGTGGTATTATTATTTTCTCTTTGCCTTTTATGCTTTACTATGGCATAGAGAAGACTCTGGGTTTTTGAAATAGAGCACAAATCCTATCAGGTTCTCCCATACTGGAAAGATTTTGAGCACTGGCCTCAGTGACAGGTATCTAAGCACCTGCCTACAGGAAGTCTTATGACCAGAGGGCTTACCACTAAGGAATGAATTTTCTTGGCTGCCTTGGTGGAGGGACTTTCTGTCTCTGAAGACAAAATCACAGCTCCTTAATGTACTGGAGACATCAGGCTGTAAATATGTTGGCCTTGGAGTTAGGAAGACTAAAGTCAGAATCCTGACTCAGATATTTATAGTATGACCCAAGGCAACTCACTTAACTGTACTTAGCCTCAGTCTCTTCATCTATAAAATTGGACTTAAAATACCACCTTCCTTACAGGGTTATTGTGAATATAAAATGAGATGATAAATGTAAACTGCTTTGTAAACTTTAAAAGTGCTATATGTTAGCTATCATCATCATCATCATCATCATCACCATAATATGATAACATTTATCAATGATTCAAATGTACCTCAGAGGATCATGTTTTACAATTTCCTATTAAATTCATTTTGTTAAAATGCTCTCCTATATATGTATAATAGTTTTATCTATGACTACACATCTAAAAACATAGTACTATAACATGGATTAAATAATAATGAAATCAACTTTGTTCTTCACATCCTGAAATTGATAACCAGCTTTAGGGTATTCTGTAAAAAAAAACAAACCAAAAAACCAATCCTTAGATATTTTGAGGCATAAGAATTTTTGAATGGATCATGAGCTTTAACAAGGAAATGAGAAGGTACTTTTGATATCTTAAATATCAAACACTTAAAAGCTGGATTTTATCTGTATACTTAAACTGACTGTGTAAGGAAGAGATATGAAGAGAAGAGGAAGAAAATAATCTCTATCCAAATGATAGGAACTAGTTTGAAGTGTTTCTCAGTAGTTTTCTTTAATAAGTCAACATTCTCCCCACATTCCCCCACTGCCTAATATTAAAGGCAACCTCTACTTCTGAAGCATGGATACTTTACAACATGAAATTTAGACATCTTTAAAAGCAGTCATGAGAATATACAGTGAGCCACCAGCCCAGGACCAAATAGGAAACTGCTGAAGATAAATGTGGTTAACTCTCCCTCTACCAATCTTGCTCCCCCATGAATCCCCCAACCACAAAATCCAAATAAATCACTACCATCAAAAATTCAATAAAATAACTATAGTCTTGCAAAGACAACTTAGAAAGATGTAATAATAAAGGCATATGTGGCAGCTAGGTTGCACAGTAGATTGAGTGCTGTGCCTGGAGTCAGAAAGACCTGAGTTCAAATCTAACCTCAGACACTTACTAGATGTGTGACCTGGGCAAGTCACTTAGTCCTATTTGCCTAATCCACTGGTGAAGGAAATGACAAACCACTTCAGTATCTTTGCTAAGAAAACCCCACAGACTGCTGACAATCAGAATCAAAGGCTTCAGAAGAGAAATTCAGATGTGGAAAGTTACAGATGGTTCCGAAGACTGTAGGGCAGCTAGATGGCACAGTGGATAGAACACTGGTCTGGGAACCATGAAGACTCATCTTCCTGAGTTCAAATCTGACCTCAGACACTTACTAGTTGTGTGATCCTGGGCAAATCACTTAACTCTATTTGCCTCAGTTTCCTCATCTGTAAAATGAGCTGAAAAAGGAAATGACAAATTACTCCATTTGCCAAGCAATTTCCAAATGGAATCACAAAGAGTTGAATTTGACTGAAATGACTGAATACCAAAATGTGGACCTTTTATAGTTCTGCCCCATTCAGGCAAATTTGTAAAGTTATTATTGAAAACTGCTATAAGTCTATCTAAGAGGTTTCATAGGA